GATACTAACTTGGCAAGTTAATTGTTTTTTTTTTTTTTTTTATTAAGATTGCATTCATTAACTCATTCATATTATCTTCATGAAATTAAAAATAAAGGGGGGGGGGGCTGCGATAACGATAGTTGTCTGATTTATCAACTTCAGTTGGATGAAACAAGTTAAATTTTCAAACTTTATTCATTTAAATATATATTATGATGCATTGGTGAAATACATATGTAGTTCATGCTTTTCACTTTCTAGCCAGACCTTGGTCCTGATATATACATGTCCCCAGGACCCCCACCAGGGCCTTGCGCTAGACCCACTGGGGGCTTCAGTGCATCCCTCCAGACCCCCTGCCTTCTACTGCCCCCACCCCCGTTACGAAATTCCTGATGTTATCACCAATTAACGCATTGGTCACAATAACCGTGTGATTTCTGGATTTCTGAAAGTTTTAATTTGATAAAATTCAATAGTTTAAAGTTTACATGTTATCTCGTGTCTCTTATATTCTAAACATGCACTTAACTTAAAACGAAACTAGATTTTTAAATATCAAAGGTCTATCTTTTAGATAAAATATTATCAAATATATCTCTTAAATGTGTTACCTCAAGTCATTATCTCTCTAATTCTCTAAAACCAGGTACTTTTATTATCCATCATCTGATTAACAATTAAAGCTTCCTATTCCTATGGCGTCGTTTGGTGACCTTCACCTTGTTTTTTTAAATACCTTTTACCTGTAGGCCTAGCGAAAAATGAGTTAGTGTGTGATAGTGTGACTTTAATTCCTACTACTAATAGCTTTTTGGAGAGGGGGGGGGGTCATTTTCCATAATGAATGTACTTTAAGTAACAAGCATTTCTAAAGCAAGTATACATCGCATTAATTATTGCTTATGATAAGGGAAATCTTTGGCGTGAGCTTTATTTATAGAAGTAATAGTAAAGAGTTGGCCAGTCGAATTGCAGCTTTAATGGCTTTCGGAAAACTGCTATCATTATTTATAAATATAACTTTGCATGCCTTTCGGTTTTAGAAATTCAAATGATATTTATTAAAACTACTGGCCGTAACAACTACACTGTTTGTTTTGATAGAGTTTTTCAATTCTCTTAAAATTAATATGGAGCAATGCAAGTATATATGTCGCATCCATTGAATTTTCTAAATTTGATAGACTAGCTGAGATGTTGATTCTGCGTGTGCTTGCTAGAGGCTATTCCAAATTTTTATGCATCAAGCACTTGTTTGCTAAATACCTAGGGGCAGAGAAATTTTTTAAAGTTTTTATGCATTTTACTACATTATCAATAGAGCACTTCCCTTACACCAGAACCAATGGCTCAGGGGCCATGAATATTAAAATTTTAAAGACATAACCTTGCTCAGCACTTTATTTGCTTGATACCAAGGAGGAGAATTTCAGAGAAATTATGCATTTTCATGTGATAAATAAAAACCCCACCCTAACTGACCATGGGCCATTTCATAATGTTTGAAGAGTCATCCATGCTCACCATTAACATGCACTTTACTTGCTTAATACCCAGGAGCTGAGAAGATTTTCAAAGAAATAATACATTTTTACTATATGGTCAAAAGGCCCACCCTTATTCCAGAATCGCTGACCAAGAGGCCATGAATTTAATAATTTTGGTCAAAGGCTCAGTGCTTGGTATTATCATTAAAAAGTTAAACTGCTTGATGTCCAGGCCCTGCGATCATGAACCATCTATGTCTAAATTTTTACACGCCGTAGAAGTCGATCAAGCAGACCAAAATTATTTTTCAACATCGATACAAAAAAGTGCAGTTATCTGCAAATTACGTCATTAATTCAATAATTAGCATACATTTTCTAGTTGACTGAAAATCTGACTTAAGTCCAAGTCTATTTCATGATTAGAAAAGAAGATTTTTAAAGACTGCATTAATTTTGATGCTTTTTGCCAAACCCCTCAGGTCCCAGGAGATGGAGACCGTGAAATTCTCATTTGTTTTTTTTTCTTCACCCATGCATGCATAGATGCCATTTGCCAAAATTATATAAAACTAGTTCAGCAATTCCAAAGAAAAAACTGAAAATGTTTAGAAAATGTTCAAATGTTGAGGCAACACCAACACAATGATGGACAAAAACAGGTAGCAATGTTACCAGAGTGACTAGGGTGATGTAAAAATAGAAAATTGAGTTATTCCTCGTCTTTATTTGTACAGACAAATATTTGCAATTAACATCCATGTTTATTTTGTAATGGAAACTCAAATAAATATGAGACCCATCTAAACAAAAATAATAAAGATCCTGAAAGGACGTCAAATGATCAAGATCTACAATATACATGTAATATTTTAAAAAGACAGACTGTACAATGATAAATCTACCAAAAAACATACAGAGCTTCAAATGCCTAGTTCTTTATCACAGTCACAGCTACAACATGTTTTTACAGTCAAATGAAGTTACATAAAGAGATTATATTACTAAAATCATTACAGTGGAAATGCACTTATACATGTACACATCCATGGGACGGATGAGGAGATTGAATGCCCTCCAATTGTTTCAGAGGTATATGTATGCTATTCATTCATTTTTACTTTTGTCATTTTTACTTACAAAACTACAATGCCGTTTCATCTTTAATACATGCACATGTATTATCATGTAAACTACTTCTAACCATATTTGCCTCTGTCACTTTCATTTCATATTTTTAAGATAGAACATTCTTTACAATAAAACATCTTAAAATTGCATACAGATTTTTACAATTATATTTTCTGAAGAAGGACACACATTATGGCAGTACATTCTCCAAGACAATAATTCCAATTCCTTTCTTTTAAAGACACTATCTAACACCAAGTTGTTGAAGTCGCTCCTCATACAAAATGTTCTTTTCAAGAGCCTGCTTGTAGTTGTATTTTAAATCTTCTATTTCCGCAAAGAAATCAGGACCAAAGTTAGATAACTCATTCTTTAGCTAGAAAATAAAAAGGACACAGATATACTACATGTATTTAAAATTGTGAATGAAAACTAAAACCTTAAAGAGGGACAACGTTCTACTTGACTTTTAAAGACATTTAGCCTTAACTGATTTCTGGATGGTATCTTGTCAGTGTTTCCAAAAACTTAGGATATACATTCTTATTTTGCATACTTGAAGTGTCACCCATTATAAATTATACAAAACCATACAACATTCATCATCTCCATTTCCAGTAAAAACAAAAACAAAAACACACCAACATGGGGTGCCAAAATGTCACAGCTGGTGAAAAACCAAGTCTTAACTGGTACTCAAACCCAGGGCCTTTGGCATACTGTGCCAGCGCTCTAACCAACTGAGCTATTGAGACCCGATATATTAACCGACTTTCACACACCTGTAAACCCATTGACACCAGTTTATATTTGGCCTTCTCTACCATACCCTACTCACCGTTTCCATTTCTCTACCATACACAACTCACCCTTTCCATTTCTCTACCACACACTACTCACCCTTTCCATTTCTCTACCATACACTACTCATTCTCTTCATTTCCAGTCAGTATTAGTCTTTGTCCCTCTCTACTGTGTGTACACTAATCATCCTCTTTATTTCCAGTCTATATCTGTCCTTCTCTACCATTCACCACTCATCCTCTCCATTTCTCTACCATACACCACACACTCTCTCTATTTCTCTACCATACACTACACACACTCTCCATTTCTCTGTCATACACTATACACCTTCTCCATTTCCAGTCAATATTTGTCTTCACTACCATACACCACTCATCCTCTCCATTTCTCTACCAAACACTACTCACCCTCTCCATTTCTAGTCTATATTTGTCCTTCTCTGTCTCCACTGTTCGTAGCTGCATTTTGATTTCCACATTTTCGTCCATTAGTCTGTCGTAGGCTGTAACCTTGGTTATTACGTCACCTGATAACTGTTAGAATGAAAAACTCATTTTAGGGCTAGAAAAGGCAAGGCTGTACAAGCTGGTGACAATTAACATTTAAAAGTTGTTGAGTTGGTGTAGTTAAAATAAAATAAGGTAAAGATAATTGAATTCACATGGAATGGTAGAAAGTTTAAATAATTTAAACAGTATTACATATTTGAGCAATTATCTGCATTAAATCTCTACAGAGACACTGTTCCTTACTGTATCTCTAATTCATTCTAGCAAAATTCATATACACCACATTCCAAGCCTCAATGCTGAATAGAAGTATAGCTTAGGGAATTTAATTTTTACACATATCTTTACATCCTGCTATTTGTACATGTGTACATGAATTATTTACAGGATAAACATTTTTTTCTTATTTTACCTGAGTCCCTCTATACATGAATTATTTACAGGATAAACATTGTTGTCTTATTTTACCTGAGTCCCTCTATACATGAATTATTTACAGGATAAACATTGTTGTCTTATTTTACCTGAGTCCCTCTATACATGAATTATTTACAGGATAAACATTTTGTCTTATTTTACCTGAGTCCCTCTATACATGAATTATTTACAGGATAAACATTGTTGTCTTATTTTACCTGAGTCCCTCTATACATGAATTATTTACAGGATAAACATTTTGTCTTATTTTACCTGAGTCCCTCTATACATGAATTATTTACAGGACAAACGTTGTCTTATTTTACCCGAGTCCCTCTATACATGAATTATTTACAGGATAAACATTGTTGTCCTATTTTACCTGTGTTCCTCCACCTTGCTGCTTGTATATCTGAAGTTCATGCTGTATCTCTTTCTTCTCATTCTCCAATCGTTCTATAGTCAGTCTGGCAACAGTGTGAAGAAAACAAAAGTCAATTTCAATTTTATCATCAGGATATAAAATACAATTTTTATTAAGAAGGCATAATAAATTTTAGCACAAAATTTACACAAAAGTTAACCTACTTTAAATACTGTAAACAATAGTGTTATTTACTTATTCAATTTCATTTGTGGAAAAACAACTCTAGTGACTCAGTACCTGGCTTGTTGGAAATCTTTTGTTAAACCCATATCTGAAGTTTTAGCACCATGAGGATATTTTTCCAAGATAGTATTCTGAAAAGGGAGGTAAATTGAGTTTAAACATTAAATGTGGTCTAAATTTTCAGAGTGTTTAAAAATCTGGTCTTAAATAATAAACAGAACAGACAGTTTCTGGAACTGCCATATCTACCATGAGTAATTAACATTGATACTTAATTACATTATATACCTGGAATTCTCTGTGGTAGTAGTATACTTTACCTTCTGTTTGAGAGCCTGGTTCTCTGTCAGTAACCTCTGTTCCCTCACTGCTGCCTCCTTCAGTAAAGTCTTTGTATCACTCAGTAACTTGTTCTACAAAACAAAAATACAGAACATTCTTATTTTAAATAAGATAATCTGTTTTTGCAAAAGGTCTAAAAATAATGTTAAAAATCTTGACCAACAAAAAATATTTTATTGTGATACATATTTACAGTATCTTGTAAATGCTTTGGACTCTGGATTTCTATGATTAAATGTGATGTTTAAGATTTCAGAAACAGAAAAAATCACCTCCTAACCAACAATATTGATAAAATTTGAAGGCATTGAAATGAGTATAGCATATACTCCTTGACTGTATCCTATATGTACATTTATGCCTTGAGCCTTCTTACATGTAAAAAGCTCATAAGAGTTATCTACCTTTTTCTCCATTTCTTTCTCTAGATCTTTCAGTTTCCCCTCATACATCCGGGTGACCACAGCAGACTTCCAGCCCTTGGAGTCCATGGTTCCAGATCCACCTGGACGTTCTCGCTCCAGTCCAGTCATAGACTTGGAATCCTGGAGCTGGCTGTTCAATTGTTCCTTCTGTAGCTCCAGATTCCGGATCTCCATTCTTAACTTCTCATTGGACTCAATTTCCTGCAATCATAGCAGTTAAGTAACAAACAAGTCACATTTAACACTCACCAAGTCATATATATATATAAACAGTCCCTTGTCAATCGAGAAAAAGACACATTTTTCTTTATTTCAAATTTTTGTCAAAGTTTCTGGAACAATTCCAATTTTAGTCTTGCAAATTAATCATATGACATAAATATTTCATCTCTGTTTTGATAGCCCTTGACTTGGAGATAAAGTTTATATATGTAATTTGTATTTTCTTATTCCCATACCTTCATGAGATCTTTCCTCATTTTCTCGTAGTCTGTCATCATTTTGGCAGTACCCTTCTGTGTGGTGGTGTACCTCTCACTAAGTGTGGCACCCATTTTCATTCGCAACTCCTCCAATTGATCCTGAAAATGTAACATCATTTACTGTAAATATAACACTGTATAACATTTTTTTTCTGTGTATCATATTTCTTGCATAAATATTCCAAAACACCACTAATTTAATTCTTCATGGTCCTATGTTTGCAATTCTCCAAGTGGTTTATTTGATTTTTCTATATGGTAAATAACTAATTTTTTGCGATCTTAAAAAAACTCCAGACATAGCGAAAATTGGATTATTATGAAAAATACCCATTATATGGTAGTGAGGGACTCCTTGAAGAAAATTTAGTCAAGGAAAGAGCAAGGGGAAAAATATTGGCTCAAACACTCTTCTATACTTTTCAATGCTTAATTCTTACAAAAACATCCACTTTCAACACTGTATAAACATAATTTTGTTGCTTTTACTTATCATATTCATATCATTTGATGTCCATATAAAAACAAACCTTGAGTCCAGCATTTTCCAGCCTCAGTTTTTGCAGTTCCTCATTCCCTGCGATGTGAGGAGCTTTCTTTAATTCTTCATTCTCCAACTGTACACGCTCCACGACCTTCTTCAGGAGGGCTATTGTCTTCTCTAATTCTCGGACACTTTTCCCACTATCCCCAATCTGTTTATCAAAAGTAAAGTTCTCAAAGTGATGAAACATTTTACACTAACTGTTTTTCCCTACTGATATTTGCATGCAATATTCCTATCTACATCTAATGTGTTATTTTCTTGTTGGAGAATCAAATTACCCTTCTTATTCCACTGGAGCCTGAAGAGTCAAAAGATCTAGCTGTGTTCCCTCCAAGTTGTGAGTTTTCCTGTTTGAGGGCCTCCACATAACTCTGAAGATCTGCTATTCTTTCCTACAAACCAAAAGCAGAAGCTACATAACATCAGTGACAGAGAGAAGAAGAATTTCTTTAAACATCTTGCTTTTTTGCAAAGAGAGTGTAAAGAAAATAACTGTTAATATTGTAATTGTAAATGTTACCTTAAGCCTTGGAGCATCTTTCCTGTACTGCTCATTCTCAAACTTGAGTTCAATATTTTCCTCAGACAGTGCTAGCATTTGTCTCTGTAGATTCTGATTCTTTTCAAAAATGACCTGGAATTCCTTGGTAGACACTCCTGTTCGATCCGCTCCCGGTTGTGTAGAAGTGACGGACACTTTCTGTGCCACTACCTGTTCCATGGACTCCAGCTGTTCTGTCAGGTATTTATTCCTGACCTCCACCTCGCGTACCGCCACATCTTTAGCCAGAGTTAACTCCCTTTGTAACTTGGTTACCTGAAAATAATAGCAAGGAATTCACTCAGAAAATCACACAAGTATTCTAGATTAGGGTAAAACATGTTGTGTTTTGGGAAGAAAAATAATTTCATCTCAGTAATTAAGGAGAGTTTCAATGTAGTAAACTGGTGTTTACAAATTGTTCAACAGATACATAGTACCCCATTTATCAATGTTTCTTGGTTTAACTGTCATCTGTAACCAAAGTTTTATATCTATTTGTCCATTTGACTGATTACCTTATCCTGAAGCTGATAGTTCCTCATCTTGAGTTCCTCCACTACATGGTCAGGTTTGTCTGAAGGTCCCCGGGGGGCTGGCACTGGGCCTCTCTGGGCATTACTTAACTTCTTCTCAGTCAGGTCTTTTTCTCTAATAGCTCTGTACAAACATGTAAGATTTAACACAATGAATTAATGAAGCATAGTTTAACTCCTGCACATTGGCTATTTATGCTTTTTCCAGCCCCCCTCAATTTTGAGATAATTAAGTTTGACTGTATTTCTTCATATTTTGTGTGGATGTACATGCTCTCTCTCTCTCTCTCTCTCCTCTGACCTGTCTAGCTGATCCTTCAGAATCCTATTTGACTTTTCCAGCCTCTCCACTTCAGCCTCTTTCTCTCTCACAGCCATCCTCATTTTCTCCACAGTTTTCTGCCATTTCTTTTTCTCCTCCCATTTTACTAATTCTTCCGACTGGAAATACATGTTAAAGAATTTTGTGACTCCAAAAATTGAGATTCTGTTAGCACAATGACTTTTATAAGTTCCTATAATAAATGTTGGATCTGCAAGCATTATCTTCCTTCGAGGTAACTCTTTATCGTTAGAAGTTTCATCCTTTTTCACTTAAAAATTTTCATGAAGTCTTGTCCATATACCTATTTGATTTATTATGTAAGAGTTACCTTTTCCTTGGTGAGCTCTTTAATGGGAGGTGTTTCCTTGGAGATCTCGTACGGTTTTTCTGGCTGCTGTTGTTTACGTTTGAGTTCCTCCTCCAGCATCCTCACCCTCCTCCTCATCTCCTCATACTCCTTCTGTTTGGTCTCCTCACCTATCCTCTGTAAGTAAATACATTATACACTGTACATAATACAACAGAAATATCCTCATCTCATATTCCTTCTGTTTGGTCTCCTCACCTATCCTCTGTACAATAAGTAAATACATTATACATTGTACATAACATGATAGAAATATCCTCATCTCATACTCCATCTGTTTGGTCTCCTCATCTATCCTCTGTACAATAAATAAATATATTATACTCAGAGGTGGATCATGGATTTTAATTTAAGAGGCGGCACCAGCTCATTATATTAGGCAGAGGGTCTTGGGACTGCCCAGCACCCACAGTGTATCCAGGGTGAAGGCCCCGGAAATCCTGGGTTCTTGAGATTTAGTGCATCAAAAATAAAGTTTTCTTTGGAGATTTTTTGTACAATTTCTTGTCCTCATGATTATAAAACTGTGAATATTTCAAAGTCTGTGAAAACAATTTTTTGTTTATTATCTGAACATTGGGTATACCTGAGTGCCCATCTTGCCCATTCTCTCCACTTTCTTTTCTAGTTCCTCCACTTCCATCTCTAACCTCTCTTTGTCTGACTTGTATCTCCGCAGGTTTTTTTCTTTCCGACCTGTCAAGCAATTCAAAATAAAAGTAGGCTATATAATGGATTTTCTTGTGTATATAGAACAACTACTGTGACAAATTTTTTTCCTAGCCTAAAGATGTACAGCAAAACTTGTTTAATCAGGATGTTGTTTATTCCAAAGTCTTGCCTATTACAATGTAAACTTCCAGTCTCTTTTAGTAAATTCAATTGTTTACAATGTCATCAAATCAGTAATGTCTAACCGTTATGTTTTCGGGGGGGGGGGGGGGGGGGGGGGGGGGGGGCATAAGAAAGTTTGCAGTTGATAGTAAGAAACCTATTGTTACTGACCTATTTCCTCTCTGAGATCATCAATATCTGTCTGTAGGGTGGCTTCTGTATCTTTCCGTTTCTTGATCTCCTTTCTCTGTCTCTCCACAGTCAACTGAAGATCATCCACCTTCTCCTATTCAAATCAACAACCACAATTCTCACAAGACAATTCAGATAAAGCATTGAATTGTATCCTTGAATTCTTTGCACTCATCTTGCTAACAGCATTTACATTCAACTTCCTTTCAGAGTGTCTACAATTTCATCTTATATTTCATCTCCATGTAATATAGCACTTACATTTAACTCCCTTGTGTGTGTGTCTACAATTTTCTGGATGTTGATTTCCTGTTCTGATTCAGTAGCTTGGTGTTTCACGGTCTCTTGTGCCTGTTGAACCATGTCTGCCCTTAGTTCCGTTAGAGCTTTACTGAGGGCCTGTCAAGAAAAACATTTCTAGATTAATCTATCATAATTTTTTTTCAATCAAATCTGCAATACCAAATATGCAAGAATTTTGCAATTCTTTACAATTATGACTTTCATGAAACATTTATTTCTCTAAACCTACCAATTACATGCGTCAAAAAAAGAGATTTTCTGCAATATATGTGTAATTTCAATAGCATCTTGTTTACACGTAAAATTTAAATGTTTCTAAGACAAAGTAGCCCCTCCTACCTGGTGTTGTTTCTCCTTTAGAGCCAGCTGATTCTTCAATCTCTCCACCAGGTTTTTCATTGTGGTCGTGGGAGCTCGATTGTTCTGCTCTGTGACCACCTCAATCTCTTCATTAAGTATCTCAATTTCCCGTTTCTGCTGCTCAATGATTTTCTTCAGATCCTGGACTTCAGAGTCTTTCTTCTGTGCTTCAGTCTTCATCTCTGATCCTAATCTATAAATGAGATTTAAAAAAAAAATGTTTTTGAGAAGGGGGACAAAGGGAAGTCTTTAATGCATAAACTGCTCTCTCCATTAAAATATATTTTGATACAAAACAAAACAACTTTTACTTGATCTGCATATAACTGTTTTGAAATAAATACAGTTTTCATAATGTCTGTTCATCTAGTGTCCTTGCACAAAATATGCTCTAGATACACCATACAAATACACACATGTACATGTATCTTTGCCCTCAAAGAAATGTCCTGCCCTTGTATTTAAATGTAGTTAATTTGTCTAATATCTAGATATGTCTGTACTGTACATATTCTCTTATCACTTTCCAGACTGCATATGTTCACAAGACTCAGTTTGTTGGCTATGTTGGCTATGCTGTACATATTCTCCTATCACTTTCCAGACTGCATATGTTCACAAGACTCAGTTTGTTGGCTATGTCTAAACATTCAACTGCTTTACATGTCAAGTACTACCTGATGGAAACTGTCTAATTAGTATACATATTATGTCATAGTCCTTTATCAACAGAAAACTGTTTTCACTTTTACCTTGGTCTGTTAATGTCTATACACCTTTACTCAATATTCTCTGTTTAATTATACCTGTCTTTGTCCACAGAGAACTGCCTGGATTCTTGCTGTAGTTTTCCCCCTGTTTAGTTATAAGACATACCTGTCTTTGTCCACAGAGGACTGCCTGGATTCTTGCTGTAGTTTTCCCCTCTGTTTAGTTATAAGACACACCTGTCTCTGTCCATAGAAAACTGCCTGGATTCTTGCTGTAGTTTTCCCCTCTGTTTAGTTATAAGACATACCTGTCTCTGTCCACAGAGAACTGCCTGGATTCTTGCTGTAGTTTTGACCCCTGTTTAGTTATAAGACACCTGTCTTTGTCCATAGAGAACTGCCTGGATTCTTGCTGTAGTTTTGCCCCCTGTTTAGTTATATGACATACCTGTCTTTGTTCACAGAGAACTGCCTGGATTCTTGCTGGAGTTTTGCCCTCTGTTCAATTATAAGACATACCTATCTTTGTCCATAGAGAACTGCCTGGATTCTTGCTGTAGTTTTGCCCTCTGTTTAGCTATAAGACATACCTGTCTCTGTCCATAAAGAACTGCCTGGATTCTTGCTGTAGTTTTCCCCTCTGTTTAGTTATTGACATACCTGTCTTTGTCCATAGAGAACTGTCTGGATTCTTGCTGTAGTTCTGACCTCTGTTTAGTTATATGACATACCTGTCTTTGTCCATAGAGAACTGCCTGGATTCTTGCTGTAGTTTTGCCCTCAAACTGATTATTTCTTCCTCTCTTTGTCTGATTTTTTCACTCATAGCTGCCATTGCATTGTCCTGCTCTGCCAAACTGTCCTCTAATTCCTGGATTCTTGCAGCCTGATGAAAAGAAGCCAAGAATAGATCATGAACAAAGACACACATCATGCATTACATTCAATGATGTTAAAATCTTGTGAAACAAGCACAAATCCTCAAAAAGTGATTTACCAAGAAATTATCAACCAGTACTTACCTGTTTTTCTGTAGCAGGTTGTCTGAGTTGTTGTTTAGCCATCAGGTCCCGGGCAGCATCTTTGAACTTGTTAAACGCAGCATCAGTGTTCTGGTGAATCTTGAGCTGCATGTTCTTGAGATCTTGTTCATGTCGTTTGTTCATGTCCTGCATATCATCGCGAGCCTGTTTCAAAAGCTCCTGGTATTTAGCAATTGTCTCCTCTTTCTGTTGGATCCTGGCCTGAAGTAATACAACTATATATTGTACATAATATTCTCAAAAAAAATAAAATATTTACTCTAAACATATCAAAACTAACAGGAGTTTTATACTAAGTCTTGCTTCCTACACAAACACAGTCAAAATCATATAACACAGAAAAAATTGAGATATCTGGTGATCTACGATAATTAATGTAGTCAAAATACACAAAATGGTTTGGACTTCCAACCCCTGGTATTCAAGTTATCAATGTTCAAGATACCGTAGTTCAACTGAATATACTGTTGAGCAAGTATTCTAATTAAAGACAGATCCATACAATTACACCTGTACCTGTAAACTGGATATGGTTGACTGAGCAATCTTTATGGAGTGTTCGGTTTGGTAGTCTTTCTCCTCTGGTTTCTGAGTCATGGCAGCATTTACTTTTGAGGTGGCTCTCAGAATGATCTCATCTCTTTCAGCTGTGGCAGGCATTCTTAATCTCAGCTCTGAGATGAGTTTATCTCGAGCTATAACAGTCTTCTCAGCTTCGTGGAGTTCTTTTTCCAGCTGCTCATTTCTCTGTTAAAATTAACAATGTCTAGAGATATTTATCTCTGAACCAACAGAACTGATACAATAATTTTGGGATACAATTGTCTGCTGTTTTTTTTTTTCATTTGTGATGAATCAATTTCACATGTTTACTAACAATTCCTTTTTAATTTCCTGATTTTATTTTCGGTGGATTTAAATTGCATTTCTAAAATATTGATTAGGTTCAAAATAAATTCAGCAAGTCAAAAAGCTGACAGCTGAAAACAAATTTCATTTTTTAAAAGATACTGCAAGTCTATGAAAATTTTGGAAACTTTGCTATTATTATTTGCTTATACATGTAGCTATTAGATCCTACCTTTTTGAGTACTTTGTTCTCCCCCTGTATATCCAGAATGACCTTGACATTACTTTTAATGGTGGTAATGGCCTGCTCTAATTGGTTGGCTACAGGAAGTTTGGAGTCCGGGAGTGAGCCCAGGGCCTGTTCAAACTGAAAAACAAATAGGTTAACAGTCATATATACAACTGGAAACTTCCTCAACTTACCAATAAAAACATACAACTTTTGGTATTTGTACATACAGGTAAGATAACAAGATATTATATCTGGCTACTACCTGTTAAAATGCCATTTCTAAGGAACTAGATATCCTTATAATATGGGTCCCTGTATATTTATTTACCTTGGATGCTGCCCCAGCGATCTGTTCTGCCTGGCTCTCCATTTTCTGCAGGGTTCGTTCCAACTCCACTTCTCTATGCTCCCACCTCAACTGTTTCTCTTCACATTCCTATAAAGATTTGGGTTGTAAATCTGTGTAATCTACTTATCACATATTGCCTTACAATTTCAATAAACTTGCAAAGTATAATAAACACATTTTCAGAGGAGTTTCAATATGAATTGTCTCCCTTAGAGAACTCTCCATACCTTGGTGGTCCTAACACTCTCTGCCTCTAAATCTGCGATGGTTGCCTCATTATTTCTTATCACTCCTTCCAAATACTTTATCTACATATTAGATGATAAAATGTGTAAAATTAGACTTTCATTCTAAAGCAAACATCATTTAGATATTGGAAACATTTTGAGTACTTTTTATGATAGTCATATAATGTTTGTTAATCCATTTAGTTGCATGTGAAAAAAATCCTTAAGTTTCCTGCCCATTATTTACTCACAAAATATTTCTTGCTGCAAACCTTTTGTTCATTTGTGCATTCGTGTAGAACGCATCCTCAGTTGCGAAAATAAGTAGTCATGGATGGAATTCAAACCGATTAATTATGAATAAAAAATGTCATGAATTGTAGTTGGCTTACGACATTATTCACATTTTAGAATCATTTTATGAAATCCTGTGTTTTGTTTTCCAAAATATTAAAGAATTAACAAACAAGAAGTCTGTAAGCCAATGCTCACTAATAATACCCCCACCTTGATATGAATGTACACAAGTTCAGTTATGGATAGAAACAAGGATGAACAGGAAGTTGACATCAGATTCGTACAAAAATTAATCCCACCATATGGCATGCCTAAACAAAGAGTGTGCTAAAATTTCAAGCATCTGCAATCAGTAGTTGCTGAGAAAACTGCGACCAAAATTTGTTATGTATGGTACAGACAGACACACAGATAAACAGGAAGTTGATATCAGATACAAACAAAAATTAATACCACCATATGACATGCCTAAACAAAGATTGTGCTAAAATTTCAAGCATCTGCAGTCAGTAGTTGCTGAGAAAACTGCGACCAAAATTTGTTATGTATGGTACAGACAGACGCACAGATAAACAGGAAGTTGACATCGGATTCATACAGAAATGTCTCCCACCATATAGGATGCCGCAACAAAGTGTGTGCTAAAATTTCAAGCATCTGCGATGAGTAGTTGCTGAGAAAACTGACGAAAAATTTGTTACAGACAGACAGACAAACAGACGGACACACAAGGGTAAAACAGTATACCCCCTCTCCTTTGGAGCAGGGGTATAAAAACAGTATTATGCCTTTCCCAGAAAACATCTCATTTAATTTGTGATACATCATTTTTATTTAAACACGGACATTATGACTAAATACTCTCTGGTTACAAATTCCCATTTCCCTTACCTGACCCTGTAGTTTACTATTGAGCCGCCTCTGTTTCAGTTCCTCTAGTCTGACCGCGTCCATTTTGCTGTGCCACTCCACCACCTTGGCGGCGCCTCTGCCGTCTTTCAGCGTGGCGATTAGTTCCTGAAGACTGCGATTCTTAAGATTCAGCTCGGCCAGTTTATCCTCTTCCTGGTCACGGTGTTCTCGTGCCTAGAAAAATACAGACATATGCCTTAAACTCTGCATCCAGTTATTTAACTCAATGGAAGTAAGATTTTAAAGCCAAATTTATGTTCAAAAGTAAATTTACTTCATCAATATTTGCAACACTGTAAAAGAAAAAGTAAGCACAACCAATTTTATGTCCTTATGCAACAAAAATTATTGAAAAAATTACCTTCTATCTATAGAAAAGTTGAGATTTTAATTTAAGTAGACTATAATTAAATTCTTTCTTATGTAACTATGCTGTATTTTTTATGGGCTGGTTTTGGACCATTTTCTTTTCCTTTGTTGATATTTCAGTAGTTGAGTTAATATACTTACCTGTTTGAGTTCCAGCTCCAGTTTCTGCTTATCCTGTTGTAGCTGCATCATCTGCTTCGAGAACTTCTCCTGTCTAGATAGAGGCACTGCCCCCGCAAACTGGACCCGCAGCTCCTGAGAAAATTAAAGCACAGAATATTTAACTTTTGAATAAACTTTACCAAAGTAAATATGGCTTGCAGCAACAATGGGCTGTTTTCAGACATAAAGGAAGAATTGTCCCAAACAAATCAACTAAGATCTTCCTGAGAAGACTAATTGCGTGATTATCTAGGCATTTACTAAAACAGGAGTCACTTTATGTGAAGTCAATTAGGGAAACAATCTATCTCTGAATCAATTGTTTGGAACAGATTGTGGCTGGGGATTTTTTTTGATACCAGCATTCTGTGGATTAACAATAATGAAGTTTTAAACTCATTGTGTAGAACAATCAGTACCTGTAGATTTCTCTTGAGGTGGTTGACCTTGCCCTGGGACTCTGTCCGGTTGTGGAACAGAGTCTGGTCTTTGTCGTCCAGTTTCTGCTCCAGACGGAGAACCAGTGCCTCCAACTTGTTGACCTTCTTCTGACTCTCCTCCAGGCGCCGCACGGCAGTACCCTCACTGACCTGCAGCTGGACAATGTGGCGGTGCAACTTCCCTGTAAAAATTGACAGACATAATAAATTACTTGCATTACTTTTCACAAAGGCAGGTCATTACTCTTATGTATCAATGTGGAGGTGAAACTTCCTTGCCAAAAATGTTAGATGTAATTGATAATTTTTTTCAATAATTTTTTGCAAAGGCAAACTATTACACTAATTATCAAATAAATATGTCCATGTAAATCAATAAAGCATTGTTTAAAATTATATTATTTTGATGAGAAACCACAGATCCCTTTGACCGTATACAGCCTAACTAATGACATTCTCACCTATAATGGTTTTCTCATCACTCTGTATCTGGAAGTCCAGCAGCTGCTGTCTGAGGGAGGCATTCTCCTTCTCTCGTGACAACTGTACCATTTCCAGGGTCCTGACCTGTGAGGTCGCAACCTCTGAAATCTCCTTCAGCTTTGAGATCTCATTTCTATTGGCAACTGCTGCCTCTTCAAGCTCCATTATCTTTTTCCTGTCTGCCTCTGATATTTCCTTGGTAACAGAATCTGTAAAAAATCATAAATGAATTTACAAACATCTCATGGCAATTTTGGTAAAAACAAAATAAACAAATCTTTCTGTAAGAATTTAAGTAAAGTTTCAAAATTTAAACTATGGGAAATATTTAAAAGTATCAAATAGCTTAAAGCAATATGAGCTGCAACTTTGATGTCAGAAATTTTTTTGGCAAAATTGTAATAACTATTTCAGTGACAGAAAAAAGAATGTTAATAAACTTCTGTTGTTCATATTTGCGATGGAAGAACTACATGTATTTATAAGCTTTGATTGATTGAAGGAAAATTACATTATTGTCATCCTGTACAATATTGATTTCTTATATAATACTACATACATGTATTTGATTGTACAGAATCCTTTATTCTGAAACAATATGATACTTTATTTCTGGTTCAAATTAATCATAATAACACATTTTAACAGCAAAATAAAATTCTCAAAAATGCAGCTCATATTGCTTTAAATTCTTGGTGTGAATGATTTCATTTATATCTTCAATATTGATTTGTTTGCATAGTGTTTAAACATCAAACGTCTACACATACTTGCTAGTTCATCCCTGAGTTCTCTTTCTATCTTCTGTAGTTCTAGATTTGACTTTGTGATCTGAAGTCAAGTTTTTATTAAATTAAAACAATGCTTTCTTAACAAGTCATTACACAGAAACCATTTTTAAAAAAATTAACAACGATAAACACCAAAGGCCTGTTCAACACAGCAAACGTTTGCGAGTGCTCGTGAACATTTTTGTTGGAAAGATAAGGAATTTTGGCAAGCGCTCGCTAACATTCACTCTGTTGAACAGGCTTCAAGTCTCAATACTTTCATACTGCAAAATATTTTCAATTAATTTATTTGAAGAAAAAAGATCACATTGAAAATGTATCCAAACTTCATTTTACAAAAGAGAACTATTTGTGCATTTTGTACATGGGAAGGAAGACGAAAACTAGATTGCAAACTATATGAGTACATGTATATACCAAGTCAATGTTTTATTCTATTATGGTCTGATATTTATGAATCATGTTATTAACTCACCTCAGAAAATTTCTCCTCGAGGTCTTTGTTCCTGTTTTCTAAGTCATGTAAAATAGATTTCTGTTGTTCGTACATTCTAACAGCATGTTCTGCTCGCTGCCGTTCATTTAACTCCTTCATTTCCAGAGTCGTGATTTTCTTGGAGACACTGATGACATCTGTGTCAGTCAAGTTCTTTATCTCTGTACCCTCTGTCACCCCTAAGTTAATGAAATATAATCTAGTAATGTTCATTATCTATTATAAAAATTCATTTTGCTTAGTTTCAATCTCTCCTCTCGAGAATAGAAATTCTGCTTAATCTTTTTGTTAGTAACAAGTTATCAATTTAAAAATACCAAAAATTAGCATTAGGGGTTTCACACTGGGAAAAGAAAAACAACAAGAGAGAGTGAAGCCAATTGGGACAAGACTAAACCTTTTTTATGTAGGTCCTCTACTGCTGCTTCCAAAGCATGAAGTTTTTCTTTCTCCAGACCAAGTGTCTTCTTCAGAACCTCGTTATCTTCTGTCAGCCGCTTTACCTCATTCTGAAAAATAAATGCTGATAAATACATCTTGAATCAATTTTTTTTAAGCCATGATTCTATTCCATCGGAATCTCTGTGATTCTCCTCTTCCCTCTAGGCACCCCTTTGTCAACTTCCTTACATCAGCAATCAACGTACTCTACTCCTCCAGTCCCTAACCCCCCTACATACCTATTTACTTATTTCTCTTCATGCTTGAGCACATGACGCCTGATCCCTTACATATACACAGATCAATTTTTTTTGTCATATAATTTCCTCTTGACTTTGCCACCAGTCTTGTATCCTGAAATCTTCCTCTTTACTAAATAATAAATTTATGCCTGCCTTTTTTTTTTTATCTTATAAAGGACCTTTCCTTTGATACTAATGTGGTCCCTTTACCTCTTCCTAATGCCTTCTATACATTCTTGAACCTCACTAAGACTTACTTCTAATCTTACAATACTATCAGCCTGTGATGCTAGTGTTCTCCCTTTCTATACTTTCCCCCTACATACCCCAATTTCAAGCCCTGAATTACCTCTAATCCTACAAGGGCTTCAGCTTTAGATACCAGTGTGTTCCCTTTCTCTAACGTGTCTCTATACTTCTCCGTCAGGTCATGATAGCGTTTGTTCATTAATTCTAGGTCAGCTGCTGGCACAGAATCCTCTATAGCTTTCTGAAGGGCAGCCATTTTAAATGTGGCCATATCCTGAAACACAGAATTATTTTTTAAAACAACTATTTCAGTCATGTAAAATAGAATAACATATTAAGTTAATAAATATTTTTAAACAAACTTTTCCATCACAAAAACTTAATCCAGTTTCCTCATTTCCAAAGTACATATTAAATTTAAAATTCTTAGTTCTGTCAAGATACAGTGCAAAAAAGTTTTCTCCTAGAAATCTGCAGCAATTTAAAAACATCTGAGCCAATCAAATTATGGCATGTATGTTTGAACATTTTGATTTCATCTTTTATTGATACAGGCCCTCGGTTGAGTACTGACCTTGAACCTCTGCAGATACCCCATTCTTTCTTGAACTGCTGTTTCCATAGAAGCCATTTCATTTTTATAACGGTGAATTTCCTGCAAAATTTTTATTATTCAAAGCATTTAAAAGATGCATTAGTGTACATTTAACAAACACATGACACTGTATTATATGAAAGTTACTTGTTTCATGCCAATAACGAATCAACCTGAATACTGAAAATCTTCCATACAATAATAAACTGATGTTATTAATTTTTCCCTGTGACTGTATCTTACAAAAGTAGATATACATTTGTACCTTGCGTAGTTGTCCCTCTGTCTCCTCCATGGTGTTGTGTCGTCGTATCAGGGCCTTCTCGTTGACACGTAGGACGGTGATTCTACGGGTCATGTCAGACAGCCTCCTTCTGACCTCTGTGTCGTCTTTTGACAATGTCTCTATCAGTCGCTAAAAAAGTTAATAAATATCATCAGAACCTGAAATAGGTTACATTTTCTAAAATATTAGCCTGCATGCTTAACTTCATTTCTTGTCTGAATTTTGCTGAAAACATCATGACTTTTAATTTACCAATGGTGAAAAAATATATGTGCCTTGAAAATACAATAATTCTTTATGCTATTGAAGATCAGATAAAAACCTAGATCCCCCACTGCTTACATTATATTCCTGGATCTGTACTGAATCTTCTTCTCTCTCTCCATTTACTTTCTTAAGCTGCTCTTGAATTTTGTCCATTTCTTCTTCCCATTCCTGGAGAATTACATTTTGAATTCATTCAGTGTATGTATGAAATTTTGTTCTCAGAATCTATTCATTAATAACCACCTTAAATAATATGGTTCAGATTCAATTTTCTTTTTTTGTTAAATGCTTCCAACACCTTTTCACAAAATTTTATAAAATTGTAAAATCTTTGAAAAAATAGGACAACACTTATGAACACTTTGACCCACATGAACAAACTCTTAACCTCAATTTTATCCCTTTTCCTCATGTTGTACAAACTTTATCTAGCACATTATGGTAACAAACACTTGGTGTTTAGTATAATAGGGTTTTACTTTTTTGTCCTTGAGATAATCCGAGTACAGCAGACCCTGTTGGTGCCTCATGACAGCAAACTTCCTCTTGTAGTTCTCCAGAGAATTCTCCATTTTCTTCATCATGTCTTCCTTCAGACTCATCTCCTGTAACACGATAGTCATTCAAAATAATTGAATACACTAATTCTTCAAAGGGAGAAAACTCTATTCAAGCATTTTTTTTTTTGTTGAAAATTACAATATTTCCTGGTCAACGATTTGCCAAATAAAATCTCACTTTTATTCATTTCAGTATTTTTATACATCAATCTTTTTAAACCTGTAACACTGCAATGAAGTATTTTCTTTATACACCATTTTTTACAGCTGTATACATTACCTGTAACACTGTGATGAGGTGCTCATTAAGATTAGAAATGACATCAGAACTGGATACTGCCATAGCATCGGGGAGAGGAATAGACTGGAACAGCCCCCCAGTTCCTCCCCCCGACTCCTGTGCTGCTTTCAAATCAGCCTCCAACTTCTCAACCTAAGACAAAACAAATAAACAAACAAATACTACTTTCCCTTCACTTTCAATTAAACCTTGGGGAAATCTCATCTTTTTTTTTTTGTTTGGAGATTCTTCTTATTGTTACTGTTCTAAATTTCCATTCTAAATTTCCTTATACACCATACATGTTTTTAAACATAAATTATCATATTCAAAATATAGTGCAATCACTGAGTATGGAGTGGTCATGAATATGAATTAGCACTACACACATCTGCTCCATGTACTGTATTCATTAATGATTATTTAATGGTATTCTTGAATTAACACATTGCTGTCTGTGCCAAAGCTGCTAAAATATGAAGCCCACTGTTTTATGTACACATTACATAATAGCTGCAAGTTTTTTCTAGTATTTTTAAGTATAATGTAACATTTCCCTAACACAATCACACCCACTAACCTTCTCTTTGGCTCTCTGAAGATCTGCTCGGACCTTGTTGCCTTCATGTCTGGTCTCTCTCAGTTCACGGCGTAGTTCCTCGTTACGACCCTGGAGATTGTCTACCTGAGCTTTCAGGTACATTGAGGTGTCATAATTCCCTATCAAATTCTTTGCTTCAATTGCCTACATATTTTGAAAACTAACAATCAGCATTTTTTTTGTGTATAAAATGAGCAAGATAATCTTTGATATTTTTTTTTTTTTAAATTCCTTTGCAAAATAAATGAAAATGTGCATGTAGAATACAATGCAAAAATCTTGTTTGATTTTATGTAAAATCATTGGGGAATTACAGCTATAGTTTACGTACAGCCAACATTTTTTCTAGAGTTGGGAATCTCATTTCCTCTGGGACCACACCTCCTTTTCCTGGGACTTTCTCTTCTTTAAATAGAAATCATATACACGTTCATATTTAAAGACAGTGATAATACCTTTAGAAGTAAGCTTACTATATTCTATATATACAAAGCCTCTCTGTAAAATTTTTTCATTAAAATGCTTTAGCGACCATGAAATCAGTACATTCATAAGCAGGGCTCTAACTGGCGACTAATTAAGTCGCCATTGCACCTAAAAATTAAGACTGGCACCTAAAATTTTTCTATAAGTCGCCAAATTGGCGACCATTTTAAATTTACTTGGTGTTTGTCAAATTACTGAACTATAAACATTTTCAATTTTTAATTTATAAAGAGCAGAAAAGAAGTTTAAAAGTTAGCAATGTACATATCTCTGTATATTGACTAATATCAATTTTAAAATTGATGCCAAAGAAAAATTTACCAGGCGACTAAAAATTTGCTTTGGAGACTAAATTCTTTTTGATTAGGAGCCAGTTGGCACCTTAATTTTAGAAGTAACATTGAGGCCTGATAAGGTCATTTTTAGTTTATAAGGTCAGGATTTTTCTATTTTCTTCTGCAAATTTTGCAAGTTCCTCACAAAACATATCGATCACACACTGTGTCTCACAGAGGCCAAATATTGTGTCCTACAAACATTTTCCTTTAGTTTATAACCATTGAGATTTATAGTGATTGTATACTGCATAATGATTTTGGAACTGAACCAGTGAATCAAAAGTGGGATTGCTACTGAAACAATTATTTTATTTTGATTGTATCTAATTTTTTTTTTAAAGAAAAAAGTATGATTTGCACAAAAAGCAGATACATGTACATATCTAGCTAGATGTGCATAAAGATTACTGATGGAAAATGAAGCATAAAGGTTAAAATAGATTTATCCATAAACTTTATTGAACATCATTATCATTTATAAACAACAGAAAACTATTTCTCAAAACATTGCTACCTACCTGGTGCATATTTCTTCAGGTTTTCTATCACTTCTTTCAGTCCCTGTTCTAACTGCTTGTTCTGATCTTTAAGTTGTTCTAATTCTGCTTTGTGCTTGGAATTTTCCTGGTACAACTTATCCATCTCTCTCAAATTCTTCACAAAATCTTCATCATGGCCACGATGCTATAATCACAATTTATCATTTTTATATTCTAAAATTTCAAAATCTAGTAATTTTCAGAATCACCATGTAAATACAACTATCAAGCATCATAATAAGGTAAAGAAAATCCTTTTACTTTATAATGAGCAGCTATTCTATGATCTGATTTTAATCGAGACAAAAATGTTCTGAATTTTTAACTTATGTTGAGGTTCTTTCTTAATCTTCTCTATATGTAAGCTATACATTTAAACCATTTTTTTTAATTTTGCGACCCCTGAGTTTTGTGACCCTGACCTGAGCATCCATCTGCTGGTGAACGACCTCCCGTTTGATGACCTCTGCTGTTGAGGTCTCCATTTCCTTGGCTTTCTTCTGTTCTTTCAGATTTTCCTGGAATTCATACACACTCATCATGTCTTCTGCTGTCAGTCCTAAAGCAACTGCCCTATAAATACATGTAGATCACCTTCAATATTATCTTTGATTAGTATTAATCATGTGGTTGTGGTGCATTTTTCTTTTCAGAGTAGATTTTTCTGTACCAAAACACAGGTAATACTGTATCACATTTGATAAGAACAAATCTGCTCCTCAAATACTTTTCTCTTGCAAAATTTAAATTATTTCCATTTCAAGGAAATCCTTTCCAATGTCTACAATATACAATTTGTATACTGAAGTAAAATGAGTCAATACCACTGAAATTAACGTCCACTATCTGACCCCTGACTGACCTTTGACCTGTGTGCTGAGCTAACTTCCTGATCTTTTTCTTTAGCTCTACCCTCTCATCCTCCAGCCTTTCCACCTCCTTCTGTAGGATAAAGTTCAGCGCTTTCTCCTCCTCCTTGCGGATTTGTTTGTTTTTACGGAATTCAGTGAGGTCCAGGGGATCCCGAGGGTCCATCCCAAGTTTAAATCTTAACTCCTCATTTTCCTCCTCGATGTCATTTATCTTCATCTCGGTTTTGTTGATGTGACTCGTCAGCTCTTCAATTTGTCTACAAAAGAAAAATTAGTGTAATAGAAAAGATTCATAATGTAATTCACTATCAACTGCAATTTAATCAGTTACGAGTGATACCAATAATTGTAGCATCATCGATTACGAGTGTGTAAAGTCTATAAATAGTTTAAAGATTTAAGAAGAAACAAGTGGACATGAGATTAACTTAATCACATTGTACATGTATCTATTTTTTCACTTGTTTTCATTATGGTATCTTTTTCATTTTAAAAAAATTTAGCTAACATTAATTTGATGGTTTGATTTTAATTCTATCCGTTTCTGTACCTGTCCCTGACTTTGATTTGATTTTTGCAGTCTTTTATTTCCTGTACAGCTTCAGCCAACCCATATTCTCCCTATAAAAACGGTAAAATATACAAGGTATTTACTTAGTTTAACAGAAAGATTAGTTATATAATTGTCTACATCAGTAGATTGACTTACATTTTCATATTTTCTCTGCTTCTCGAGGGCATATGTCAGCTCTCTGTCTTTCTCCCGAGCATCTCGTTCAGCCTGCAAAGTCAATGTACAAAACATGTTAAAATTTTTATCATCTGTGTTGATCCAAGCACTTTACAACATTAAAACAATCTATTAAAATGCCTTTAACACTAAATATAAATGTTAATCTATTTATAAAATTATTTCCTATTTTTAGATTGTCAACATATCATATTCAAGTTCTAATTCTTCATAACAAACAAAAAAAATTTTTAAAATCTTCAAAGTTAAAGAACAAGTTTATAAATAGTACATACCATTTTCAGTTCCTTCTCTAGCTCCGTTATTTTTTCTCTGTAATAATCCACCTCCTTCTGTAGATTTCTGATTTTCTTCTGTTGACTGTCTCCAGATCCTAATCCAGCTACAATCAACCAAAGACGATAAGTCGTGGGGTGAGGTAAATTTATCTCTTATTACAAAATATTATTATTATCAATGTATTAAATTCTAGCTTTTGATTTTTGTTAAGTTTGTTTTATTATATTTTTGGGAGGTTTATTTTTAAATCGGAACTGTCAATTACTGTCCTTCATGCAATGACTTTGGCTGCAAATTACATTCTTGTGAAATTAACAACATATAAAATTTCAGAACAGATCTTTTGTTAGGATTTCTATCAATCATAATAATACCTGAGCATGTAGACAATACAAAAAAAAAAAATCAACAAAAATCTAATATATGACATTTTCACACCTATACAAGTGTAAACTTACATCTTTTAAGTTCTGCCTGCAGGTCCTCAATAATGGCGGTATTCTTCTCCATCTCATCCACAAACTGTTTGATCTGCTCTGTAAGGTCCTCTATCTGTTTGTCCTTCTCCTTGACCACTTTGGACAGTGCGGCCACCGAGGCTTTGTCGGCGTCCATGTTGGCCGCGATTAACTGTTCCCTGTACTGAATCACCTGTTCCTGAAGCTCCAACATCTGCTCATCTTTTTCTTGTAGAATTTCCTATAATGCATGTCAAGTAAAATTAAAGATCTGGAAGTTTTTTCATGCTAACAACTGTTTGGTTTTCAATCCGAATCTTTCATAATAACTGAATTTATTAAAATACCAGGTACATACCACAATAGTGAGTACCTGGTATTGCAGTAAGTTGTTTTATTTGCATTAATTCAAATTCTTTTCGATGATCCTTAAATTTTCTTTCTTTTTTTTTCTTGATTTTTTCAAAAAAAAAAAAGTATAGAAATTTCAATTTCAGATATTACCCACCTTCCACTCCTCGACTTTATTGTTAACAGCCACCATGATGGCATCATCTGCGTCGGTTTTAGACTGTACTTGTTCATTTAGATCAATCACCTGTCAATTTTTATCGAGGTCAGTGTTTTACAATCATAAATGTGTACGAAATATATATCAACACAAATAAATTTGTCTTACAAACAACAAATTTTGAAAAGTCTAAGTTTCTCAAAAGAACTAGTATTTCAATTATAAAAGCTCATTAATAACCCTTTCCTGTAAAGTTCCAAAGATGTAACAAATAAAGACCATTCATCAAAGAAATGGATAAAACATTGCATGTAATTTTCCAACAGATAAAAGAGTACTAGCATTTCAATTCTACCAATTTAATTCATACTGAATTAAAAAATTCCCAGATAGAGCTGTCCATTTCCTGTGGGCCATTAAAAAGTCATCCCTTTCTTAAACATATCAGCATTATCTGCCCATATCCATATCCTTGACATTAATTTGTACTATGTTTAATTTCTCCATACACACAGACAAATGAACACATGATTATTCTTTCTTCTAATACACTCAGCACACATACCTGAGCTTTTAAGACCTCATTCTCCTCTCTCAGTTTGTCAGTCACTGCATCACTCTGGGCTAAAACTTGCTGAAATTCAAATTTTTTTTTTTTTTAATAAAACAAAGAGGTAACATTATACAAGTTTAAATATGCGCAACAGACAAAGCCATTGCAAAATTAACATACATTTGTACATTAAATAAACTCTTTACATGCTCTTTGGCCCATTAAAAAAAAAAGGTTTGATCTAAATCCCTTTCATGATTCACTTAAGGAACAACAGGCATCTAATAATTTCTTTCCATCATAATTCTTAATTTTCTTTGATCCACCCCTGTTCCCACCCCTAAATTCTGAAATTTGTTTGATCCACCCCTGATCCTCACCTTTAGTTTGCTGTAGTCCTCAGTGGTCCTCTCCACCATCGCTACAGCCTCCTCAATCTGAGCCTTCATGTCCTCAACCTGCCTCTGGTACTCCTCATTGGCATCCGTCAAATTCTGAAAATTAATTTCAAAAATTGTAAACTTTTAACATCACATTTTTTATTTATGTACTGAAAGTCACCAAATTTTTACAATGCCCTATTTTTGCGAGATAATTATTTGGAATTTAAAAGCAAGAAAAAATTTTCATGAAATTTGTAAACTGTTACATATTATCTTTAAGAATAAAATATACACAAGATTGGTCTTGAGTAATTACGCAAAAATAAAGTTCTCATGAATAAAAAGGGATTTACAGTACATCACGTAAAAAAAAATCAAAGAAATATATTTAATGACATAAAAATATTTTTTTCCTAGCACTTGTTAAATTTTGAAAAATGTGAAAAATTTAATTGAGGTTAGATTAAATTTTTTTTTTCCAACAATATTTGGATATATAACTATCCTACGATAAGTAAAATACACGTTTTAAGTTACATTTTGGTTGAAGAAAATTCAGACCTGCAATTCCTCCATAGCTTCTGCCAGGTCATGATTTTTGCGGGCCAGTTTTTCTCTATAATCTAGTTCTCCTCCTTTATTAGACACCAGTTTATCACGCTGAGCCTCCATGTGCATCTTAAAGTCGCTGACCTCACTCTTCAATCTGTCATTCTGGTGGGGAGAAACAAATATTTGTTATGAAAAAATTCAAATATACAAGGGGAATAAAGCACCAGAGTTTTATTTTGAAGGGTAAAAACTTTATACTGTAGCTTCAAAATTACTACTTTCAAAAATTAAAAGAATATACCTTGCCTTAAATCAAAATATCAACTTTTTTCCCTCAAATTTTGTAGCAAGTTTTAATTTTTTTTATTATAACTCATCATAATTATGTTCCATTTGAAAATAAAAGAAAAAGTATAATCTCCTATTTTTATCATTAAACTATACAAATTGAGACAAAAGATTACTACATTTGAAATTACATTCAATTACTTTTGTTTAGTTTTGGAACTTTACATGTAAAACAATTTTTCACACATTTTTTCTTAATAAATCTTACTTACCTCTTCACGGTATTCTTTCAAGTCTTTCTCCAAATCACTGATCTTTTCACTGTACTGTAAAACAAAAGAATTAAAATAGTCAACACAAAATAAAACATCACACAAAGATATTATGGCTAGACAATGCCAATGCTAGCTGTAGCATTAAAACAATGTGTGAGTATGGGCAGCAGTAAATATGAGTATCAACAGATGAAAAATTTTCTGCTGCACAAAGGGATTTGAGTTGTCAATTATGTTTCACTATGAGCCAAATCTATGTCTGCAAAAAATTTCGAATCTTGAATATTTTGTGCTATGCACAATATCTTTTCAGATAATTACAGTACTGCAAGGAATAAAAGGTCCTAGAGAGCTCTCTTGTGAAAATCAGTTTTAAATTTACAATAACATAACATCATCTAAGTTTCCAACTTAATAATATGCACATGTAAAATAGAAATAGACTCCTAAAAAATCAGTATGATAGATATATCACAGTTATTCTTGGTCATGTATTTTTACTCCAAACTAGATCTCCCCAAAAATATTTTCCACTTACAAAAAAGTCCCATTCAGGACTGTTTTATTAAACTATTTACTGAGTTTATGTGCCAACAAACAAAAACATGACATTGTTTATATAGATTCTTTTTTTAATTTTTTAAAAATTAAAATGGTGGTCTTACAGTTTCGGCAGCACGTTTTTCTTTTGTCAGTTCACTCTGTAGATCACGGAGTTCAGTGGTCAATTCTTCATTCTGCCTCTCCAGGTCTCTCATCTGATCACGAACCAACCTTGAAGCCCCCGCCCCTCCTGCACTCCCCTCACCTCCATATTTCTGTGAACACATACAACATCTAATACAAATCTAGCTTTCATTTGCTATGTTATGTTTGTAAATAAACAATGTACATTTTTAAGGTACATTTGCCACTTATTCTCTTTCAAAAAATGCATTGAAAGCTTTGGTAACTGATGAGAAACAAGATCGAATAAATGGACTATCTTTTTTAACTCTCAATTTTTCATCATTTAATATCACATAAGCAGTGTAATCATTTGAAATCCTGCCTTCATTTTGTGATACTACATGTATTCAAATTCTCTACATTATCAAAACAAAACCTGACCTCCAGTTCTGCAATTTTCTTCTGTAGTTCCTTTTCTTTAGATGCCATGGCTTCCTCTACAAAATTAATTTGCTTTGTATGATGCATTTCTTTAAAAAAAAAAAAAAGAAATCAAATTTCTCTTAAATGAGAAGAAATTGTTTTTATTGGTATAATATCCCCTTTATCCCCTCTCCACCCAACCCTGACCTTTCTTCTTGCTGGCCTTGACCTCTTTTTCATATTCCTCCATAATCTCCTCACATGCCTCATTCTTAGCTTTCATGATCACCCTGGAAACGTCAAACAACTTCTGTAATTTTCCCGTGTCTGATTCATCTTCAGGATTGTACTGAAAAAAAATGTTATTATTAATCAAACTTAAGCTATTAACTTTGGAATCCATAGAATGATGTACAACATCGTGTAAAATTGTCTGTTATGTTATAACATATCATAAATTAAAAAAAATTCTGAACTAATACATTAAAATTCCTTTTTATAACTACTATCAAGGTTTGAAAATAAAAAATGAACAACAAAAATTGGAAACTTTAATGATAGGACACCAACTAATTTTTAAATACTTTGTTATTTTGCATCGAGTATGGCAAAACATTCTCAATCATTCAAACTGGGTCCGTAGGACAATATCATTTTAACGATAGAATGTTCTATCTAGATTGCTTCATGTATTGCCAATGACACTGTACAACAATGGGACTTACAGAGACAAGGGATTCATAGAATTCTTCAACATCTTCTTCTGACAGCTCTGTTGGCTTAGCTGCCATTAATTTATCCCAGTCTAACGGCGGCATGGTGAGATCTATTACTGTCTCAACTCTGAAATTATGGAAATAAACATCTGATGTTAAATTTATACCACTCCCTGCCAAATCAGAAACAAGTCATATTTGTTCTTGTTCATTGAAAAGTCAGACTATAAATATTTTATTTAAAATCTGAAAATACTTGCTGACACAACATATTTCTTTCTATATTATAAAAGAACGTGGATAATTAAAAAAAATAATAGCTTATGTTTAAGTACCAATGATTGTCTTGCCATTTCTAGGCCATGAAAAAGGTACAGAACAATAAAAAAATAAAAAATACTGAACAATTTATATTCCTTTCCATAAATTAAATTTTCTAATGACAAAAGTATATACAATATTTCTATCGCGATTTATCAACAAAGTTAACATCTTCAAAATAAAACCCATAACTTGAAATAAACACCGTGCTGACATGTTCAATCACGAATTCGATAGTAACTTTGCTGATTTTTGGACAATTTCTGGTTTAAATGGCCTATACTGAATATATTTGGTAGCTAAGAACTGACAAAAAATAAATGCAACATATCACATGCTATATATACTTTTCTTTACAGTAAAATATTCAGTTACCTGCAATGTTTATCTTCAGTTTACAAACTTCTCCGCCATGTCGGTATATAAACAATGTTTGACGCGAGTACCTCGCGCGCTTTCTTCGAAGTAAAATTAAAACTGGTTTCGACAAAAATATCCGGATTTAAAAGATTAAATATAGCCAGGGACCTATATACTAAGTATTAGTATATAGGTCCCTGATATAGCGCATGTTAGGTACCTATAACTGCCTTAATTAATGTAACCATAGAGTATTTTTATGGCAACCCCACAATTTCAAATTGCATGATGTACATGTATAAATGTTGCAGATTGTGAACTCGTGGAGAAAAGTTTTCACGATACCAAGTTTGATCTCAGGCGCAACATCTGTTCAGCCTGAGTGGTGACCAGTGCAACTAGATTATTTCCTTATTTTCCAAAATTCCTGACAAGTCCAGTCTCTTTACACAGGTGTTACATACAGATTCCATTTGTATTGAAGCTTTTTCACTCCAATACACTATATCATGCAGTTGCTGATTGTTCACTGATCTTATGCCGCACCTGTAGAATGCACAATTATATGGTTTTAGTTTCTTCATTATCCATGCCAAGTTCATGAGGCATTAGATGCTAAACTTTTCATAATTTAATTGTGCTTTGAGTTTCTGTTGTTTCAGAAGTAAAAAACACCGGTCAACAATGATCACTAAGATCGACAAAATGTAATTCTTACTATATCAGTCTTCATGATGTCATGCAGTGTTTGACAGACTCCTGGGTTTCCTCTATATCATGCAACAGAACCGTCTTCTTCCTTGCTGATCAGAGAGAGAACTGCGTTATGCATCAAGTGCGCAATGCCCGTGCAATTTTCGCGCCACACAGAATTCAACATGCAGATGGGCGGGGCTAAGGTCCTGCGCTCAGCATCCTGTGCATGATGCTTGTGAATTTTTCGCGCCAAATAGATTTGACATGCAGATGGGCGGGGCTAAGGTACTGCGCTCAGCATCCTGCGCATGATGCTTGTGAATTTTTCGCGCCAAATAGATTTGACATGCAGAGGCGAGGTTACATTTTACAACTGCAAAACTTTACTATTCGTTTGATACAGATTGTGTTTTCAAAAAGTCTTGTACATATCTTACTGGACTATAATACGAAACCAATAGGAAAAAAATACACAGATAAGACAAAAAAAGAGCAAGGGCCACTTACGGCCTTTTTTAGCCCTGTAAATTTCTGAAAAATTAAAACTGCATAGTTTTAGTCGACAAGGCAATAAATATCACTTGAACACTTGGTGACTGAATTTCTACTAAATATGACGTAATTTTCTTGATAGTCAATGCATTATGACGTCATGAATTACGTCATTATTCACATATCCCGAATATTTCTTCAAAAATAGCCAAAATATGATGCTACTTTTCAATATTTCGTATACAGCACAACCTCCGATCCAAAATGTGCAAATATATTACGAAAGAACTGCTTATTAAGATTATAAAATATATTTTAATTTTTGGATCGAGGGGTGTGCTCATATTTTTATTCTTTGTTGAAGGTTCTCAAATTCACCTGTTTTCTGCAAAATTCAAGAACATTACAATTTCACACAACCTGTTTTCGAGTACCTGGACTCTTTAGAGGAAACTTTTATATACAAACTGAAAGCGCAAAGTATCTACTTTATATTGATGTTGAGAAAGGGACATAGTGTGTTAGTGGATAAACTGGTTTATCTACAGGGCCATTTTATGCATAAAGTGAACCTAGCTCTTTAATTTAGCTTGAGTTCAGAATTGTAAAAGAAATTTATAGATTTCTTTGTCTCATTATTTTTACTGATTTGTGTTAAGAATTATTGATATAAAAAACGTACATTCCTATATATATACTATACTGGTAATTAAAAATGTGTTTTAATAGTCAGGCCACATCAATAAAATTATTTGTTCGTCGGACCCGCGCGCTCGTATTTAAACAAAACCATACAAATAATATTAATTTCAATTTCCCACACCATGGAAATTCTGTGCTATTTTCTATTCAATTTCCGCTCTGTTTTTCGTATTTTAGTTCTGCTTTCTCTGCAAATGAGGAAAAATATAATTGTCCACTCAAATTTTTTCACGCTCCGCCAAAAAATTTTGCCTACAAAAAAATAATAATTTTATTATTTAACCGCTTGCCTGCTCGTTCTTTTTTTTTTTTTTCATCAAATGTCCGACGAACAAGAAATTAAATTGGTGTGGCCTCATGAACATATTTTACTTGCTATACTGTTACACTAGATTTATTTTGTTCTACTATTTTACCCCATTATAGCTTTCCAAGAAAATTCGTTATAGCAATAAATTGGTGAAAAGTGCCTTTGCAACGAAGGAAAACATGATTTGTTATAATTTGTTGTGACAATTTTTCTCAGTTATGTGCACGTGGTGTTTGAATATGTTGATTTTAAAATACTGTTACATGTACTTAATTAATGAACCTTTATCCGACAAGTGTTTTTTTATAGGCGGATCAGTCCAGGAACTTTTTCCAGGTGGGGTCCACACCAACATAAAAAAAAAATACGGACTGAGATTTTTTCTTTTTTTGACAAGCAAAAAGGAAGTAAACAGTAAATAAAATCACCCAAACATGAAAAAAACTATTTCGGGCGGAGGTGGTGGGTGGGGGCTGTAGGACATGTCACTTTTTTCAAGTCATAGACTAGTCATTAACCACCAGTGCGCGCATGGGTTAAAGATGATTTTAATCAAGAGCTCGAGGCAAAATATGAATTTAAAGTCAATAAAGCTGATCATTATTTGATCATTTTACATGTACGTGTTTAAATGCTTACTATGCTTACTTTACCATAGAAATTCAATAACTCTGAAAATCCCGGGGAGGGGGATCCGGAACCCCATCCACCCCCTCTAGATCAGCATGATACGTGCATGTCTATACAAGTATATACATTGCATTACGAGGGGGGTTCAATTCGATTCACAGCTAGGGAGAACTTTCCATTGCTGGATAGTGGAGGTACACTGTGGTACCCCCTCTCAGGTATAACAGACTGACTTAGAAATTTGGTTGCACAGCCTTGAAAAGTGTGTCATGTCACATAGTCTTTTTTTTTTTTTTTTTTTTTTTTTTTTGGCAAAGAACTGTTTTAACTTGGGATTTTCCCAGTTTGCGGTTTTCAATGCCTATGTCACTGGGTGATACCATACTAGCATAATAATGATGTTTCAAAACACTAATGTTGTATATAAATTATATATACAGAAAAATGCACTGCAAAGCAGCTCTTATTTTACAACATACATAATTTACTTTTAATATAATATGTTGGAAATTATCCGAAAATAAATGTATTTACACGCTTGACTGCATTTTGCAGATGTGATGATCTTAATTTAGGTAGAATGAAATTGAGGCGTGAATTTGTGACGCTTCCTAGCCTTGTTATGTAAAATAAAAATTAAAATGAAGTCCTAATTAAAACCTAATAAAAAAAAGTTGAGAAATTAAGGAGGATGAGTATGACTTTATGTTAATTTATAAAAATGTTAATTGGGCATATTTTATCTCTATAAAAGACGATGGATGAATAATATGTCGCCTGAGATCCCCAGGGCTCTTTTTCAGATATCACATGCAACGTGCATGCATTAGTAGTGACAGATTAATTAGTGTACATTAATATGTACATGTAAATCAAATGCAATTAATACTGATAAGAACAATGATAAAGGTACATACATGTATTTTGATTGCCTATATAATTATATATTATACTCCACCATCCAAAGCCCCCCCCCCTCCCCGGTCAGTCAGCAGTTAGCAACTAGTGTGTATCCTTTTTTCCTTTTATATCTATAGTGTGCTTAAAAACTATATTTTACAGTGTATATGAAAACGGTGGACAATGATCATAATTATATAGTTTTGCAGGCAATTCAAGTACCTCTATGAAGAAGAATAGTTTTCATTTGTGATTGTCTTTTTTTTTTAGTTTTGTTTATTTAGTTATTTATTTTTATACCTAATCTGTACAGCCGGAATATTTCAACACTGAATTCTACAAAAGAGCCCTCACTTAAATCTGCAGTTTTAGCCCACGCGTCTTTAAAGTTGACAGGAAAAAAGTTTCAGCACAAACGACATACCTTCGCGGCTTCTCCATCGATCCGTGAGTTAGATGAGATAAAGGATAGAATACATGAAATATACTTTTCAGACTAGCTGTATCTAGAGGAGCTTTCTCTCTCTCTCTCTCTCTCTCTCTCTCTCTCTCTCTGCCCCCCCCCCGTTTGTAGCGCTTGTGGTTATAGAGCGCTACACAATATATATATATATATATATATATATATATATATATATATATATATATATATATATATATATATATATATATATATATATATATATATATATATATAAGTCACGGAGTGTATAAGGAAATACGTTGCGTGTTCGATTCTCACTGTAGAAGTTGAGGACTGTGGTCCGAGGTCCCGTGTAAATGTTGAAACAAAAAGATCTCTGCTCCATGTCCAGAAGTGCCGAGTACAGGTCTAGGAGTAAGAGAAAAAAAAAACAATTTTTGTACATTTAATATACGTTTAAGATATGTATAAGATTTCTAAAAAAAAATTCAAAATATAAACTGACGGGTGCCTCCCCCCTCTATATTCGATACAGTGCAATCGTAATGTTGTATACTGTTTGTGACAGAATATCGTCGTCTTCTCCCTGCTATTATAGGTACAGTTTGCGACAGAAAAGTGTCTAGACAGCCTTCATTGTTTTTTATGGATGATGGACTTTTTAATTGGTGAAATAGGTTCGATAGTGACCAGATAATTATAAAGCAATACCTACAAGTATCACCGAAAAAAACGTCATTAACTTTATATTTTAAACTTACTTTTTATTTGTATTTTTGCTTCAATATCGCGAAGTTTACCTCTTAATTGGTGAAGTTTAAATCACACTATATAATGTATTTTAGTGGGTCAATGAACTTCACCTCCATTTTCACCAGGTCACTAAAATCTAGGTTTGTGGCCGCGTAATGTTAA